TTATGAGAGTAAAAATGCTGTATGTTTAGTAGAGATATTTCATACTTACTTGCTCAGGTTCTCTGTATGCTCTTGTTCTGTTTTTAACATTCACATTAAGGATATTTTCAGAGTTGTTAAAGTTTACACATGAACTGAATAGCTCAAAGCTGTTGAGAGACTTTCCAAAAGATATAACAATCATTTACATGCAAGTCTGTATTTTGTCAAAAAATAAACTAATGATTCCAAATGCGAGACTGGGTGGAATGTTATATACGTGATGAAGTAGAAGGTTTATATATATATATATATTTATAAATTAGCACTGTCAGTTTATCAGTTTAATGCATTCTTTTAGTGCAATCAATTTCAAAAATGCTATACAGTGCACCAAAAAAATAAGAAAATTTTATTTAAAATTAATTAAAATAAGATAGTTTTTTTTTCTCATCAAAGAAATGAAGTGTTAAGTACAACTTTCCAGGTCCGCATTTTATATAATGTCTTTAAATGATCTTACTTGTGGGATTTTCTCAGCAAAAACTGATGTGATTATTATGTGATTATTTGCAACTACTTTGATTAATTACTTGGCACACAATATACTTTATTCCATTAAAACATGATGATTGTCAATATAAAGATACAGATGTGACGTCCCAGGCTGACTTGGAATGAAATCTTGTGACATGGTGTCCCCTTCAATAGCTGAAGATAACAGTAAAATAACATGTTATTGACTCATCTTGCAATACAAGATTCAGTATTTGTGGTAAACAGTCTCCAAAGAACAATCTGTCCAAAGCCAGCCAAGAACTGAACGATTGATCACTCTCTCAACAAACACTGAACAAGTAAGCCATATTTGTAACTTTACCAAGTTCAACAAACTCATTATCCTCAAGCACGTCTTCTATGGTATCGTCACTGTCCAGCAAGCCCAATCCCTGACATCTTCTGACCACAAAACGCACATCTTTGATATGCTGGATCCCTCCATTGTCGGGTTTGTTCTTGATGTAGCGCTTGAGAGCTTCAAAACCCAACCATTTAATGCTGCAGGTGGCATCTTTGCATGGAACAGTTAGCCACTCGTCCCGAACGTGGACTGTGAAACGAGGCATCACGTTGGACTGAACAACCACAGGCTGAGGAGATGCAGATTGCTTCACTAGGTGGTGTACACAAAACGCAATGGACCAATCAAAAACTGTTCTGTGGACCCCTCCTTTATCACAGAAGACAGAGTACATGGTGCTGTTTGAATACGTTATCTCTGCACCAAAGGTTCTGTGTTACAATACACTTGTCAAAAAGACTAGAATCTATCAGTCAACAGACTGTACAATTTTGGCATCAACAACAGAAATAAACATACATAGCAAAAATATATATATATATTTTGTTTACAAATGTAATATTATTTAATACAGAATCACTGTAATTGTTATACTGATAATAACATATAATTTGGTAAATATTTATATTAAATTGCTTCTATCTATAATCTATCTATCTATCTGTTATTTTTTTTCCTAATTTAAATATAAAATGCAATATATATAGAGAAAGATATAGAGAGATGGAGACTAAATAGATAGACAGACAGACAGACAGATAGAACGATAGATAGACAGATAGATAGACAGAAAGATAGATAGACAGAACGATAGATAGATAGACAGACAGACAGAACGATAGACAGACAGACAGACAGATAGATAGATAGAACGATAGATAGATAGACAGACAGACAGACAGATAGAACGATAGAACGATAGATAGACAGACAGAAAGATAGATAGATAGAACGATAGATAGATAGATAGACAGACAGACAGAACGATAGACAGACAGACAGACAGATAGACAGACAGATAGATAGAACGATAGATAGACAGACAGACAGACAGACAGACAGATAGATAGATAGAACGATAGATAGATAGATAGAACGAGATAGACAGACAGACAGACAGACAGAACGATAGACAGACAGACAGACAGACAGACAGACAGATAGATAGATAGATAGATAGATAGATAGATAAACTCCCTTAAAAATGGGCTGCTTGTGAGATGCATGTGAAAATGTTTGCGTCAAATTTTCTGCATAGCAGGTATATTTACTTTTATGTTAAAATAAATTAATCTTCTGCAATGCTGAACTGTATAAAACCATGTCAATTTTTGGGCTAAAGGCTAGACATGACAGTTTTGGGCCAACTGTGGGGTGTTACAGCTGCTTAAATGTGCAAGTTATATGTCCCACAATGAGGAAAAACACAATGCTAATTCACGTTAAAATTTACATTTTTTACTTTTCCCCAAATAAATTCATTAATTTATGTTGTTTCAATCCTTTCTGAGACAGCTTTCAATAAAGAAGCAGGTCATTCTAGACAGTTGGCGCTCCCTCCAGGACAGACAGTGAATGAGCACTATCAGTCCTAAACTAATATTATTTGCATTTTTTATGAATTCAGTGACCAAAATACCCTGACAGCAAAGATTCACTAACCATTTAATGTCTATATTGAGCTTCCACAAAGTCTACAATGCATCAGCAACTTCAAAGATTATCCAGTGACACAGCCTTGACTCTGAGGGACAGAAAAAGGCGGCAATTTTGGCATGTTTACGACTGCCCGGTGACAGTGAGGAATATTTTAAGCAGGCAAGTGCGACATATTCTGGCAGCATCTTCAAAACTCTTTTCTCTGTCATCCATTCAACCACATACACACACTGTATGTCTTTTTCGAAGTCTTTCCTTTACATATTCTCACATCTCAGTTTCTCCAGGCCCCAGACTCTCTGAAACAGGCCCTCACAATTTCATCATTCACTATGTCCTGCTGTTGGCTAGACTCCAGCTAAAAAAAAAAAAAACCCTAAGTAAACACAGAACCGCAGACGTTTGCTCCAGGGGCATGAGGCATGAGAGGAGCCCCTTGTGTTGGATCACACCCCTCAGGTGCAAAGCACTCTACATATTTTAAAGCTCTGGGGCCAGAAACATGTCTTGAAATCATTTGCTGAAATGTTCGTATTTTCATAAGGGGGAATATTATTTAGGGTTAGAATATTATTGGGGTTGTACATAAAGGGAAACGTAAAGTGTAAAATAAGGTAGTTGGGTACAATTAAGACTGGTATCAGAAAGCAAATTAAGACAACAGACGACAATGCATTTGTGGCATGATGTTAATTATCACAAAAATGAATTTCGACTCGACCCTCCTTTTCTTAAAAAAACAAAAATCTGATCTGGCTTACAGTGAGGCACTTGGCACTTCATAGAAGTGAATACTATAGTATAGCTACAAGATCTCAATAATATGTGCTTTAACATGTTTTTAATGTGAAAACCACTTTGTAAAGTTTTACACATCCAGTTTTACAACTTAGCTGCCATGACAACATAATGCCTATAATCAAAAAAAAAAAAAAGATGAGAACAACTTTACAGCTTAAAGAATACAAGTTTTAACAGAAGAATGAATGTAAATGCTTTTATAAAATTACAAGCTTCACATTTCTGCATTTACACCCTACAGATATTGGCCTTATTCATTTCCATTCCAAGTACCTCACCGTAAGGTTGTAAAGGTTGTAAATAAATGTTGTTTTGTAAATTATAAATAATATTCACAGTTTCAAAAGTACAGCCACAAGATGTAAACAATATGCGTGTTAACATGATTTGTTTTTGTGAAAAATCACTTACTGACTTTTTATGTGTAAACTTATAGCCAATTTTACAATTATGTTTCCACATAATGGCTATATCCATAAACTGACTGTAAAATGACAACTTTATAGCTTGAATAATACACGTTTTAACAGAAGAATTAATGTAAATGCATTTTTAAAATGATAAATTTCCTATTTCTGCATGTAAACCTTCCAAAGAATTTCCATTGTAAGTGCCAGCCTCACTGCAATCTCATTTTTTGTAAAGAAAACAATTTTTTTTTGCTAATTAAGATAATGCCACATCATGTAAATATGTTAACATGATTTTAATGTGAAAATCACTTACTAACCTAAAACCCTAAACCACTTTGACACAATGATGAGAATTAAAAGTTCAAAAATTAAGTTATATCCAATTTTACAATTTGCATCGCCATAACAACATAACACCTGAACAACTGTAAAAATTATGACACGTTTATAGCTCAAACAATACACAAGTTTCAACAACAGAATTAATGTAAGTGCTTTTATAAAAATGATAAGCTTCACAGTTTAATACTTCCAAAAATTGGCCCCAATCACTTCCATTGCAAGTTCCCCACCATAACCTCTTTTTTTTTTTTGTAAAGAAAACAATTGTATAAATTTGTATTCTTAAAAATAAATAAATATTCTAATCAACATTATGCCACAAAATAGCTTTACAATAAGGTTCATTAGTTAACATTAATTAACACATTAACAGTATTTATTAATCCTGGTTAACGTTAATTAACAAAAACACAACTGTTCATTGTTAGTTCATGTTAGATTAAGTCCATTAATTAATATTAACAAATAAAACTGTGAATTTTAATAATGTATTAGTAAAGGTTGCAATTAATATGAACTGAGATTAATGAAGGAGTTACAAGTCTTTTTCATTGTTAGTTTATGTTAACTAATGTAGTTAACTAACAAATGGAACCTTATTGTTACCCATATTCCTTTAAAAAACAGTGTTATTAATACATTTCCCATGCAATGTCTTGCCAAAAAACGTCATTAGGCCAAAAAAAACACTGCACCCTTCCCATATCATATCTTCGTTTCAAGTGAGATCCTGCAGAGCTCGATCCCTGCCACCTTTCCTTTCTGGTGCCACCCCCACCTCAAAAACAACACGTTCCCAAGACTCCACCCCTCCTTCACCCTCCTGGTCAAATTCCATTCACTGCTCTCACCACCACAAGCCCAATCCCCAATCTCAGGCAGGACGTCCCTGAGAACATCAGCAGCTCTTTCTTTGCTCTTGCACGGCTAAATCTAAAAATGTCCTGGACGCGACCTCTTCTTCTCACCTGTCTCGTTGTTTTGTCCGTCATCACCTGTGAGTAACCAGACCGTGGTTTACTGTGCTAACCAAGGGAAGTGTTGATTTACCAATGTGGGGAACCATATAGTCCCTGGAAAGGGTGGCAAATCTTTTGGACTTACCTCAGCCGTGTTTCCTCTGTTACAGTGTTCCATGAAGCCGACAGCGCCGCTGTGTCAGATAAAAAGGCAGCCAGTCCTCAAGGTGACCAAAGACCTTCACAATGTTGCTGTAGATCTTTGTCAAGAGTTTCTACCCCTCATCAATGTTCTTCTTCACCAAAGGTGCACTGAGGAAGATCTTCATGCCAGAGGCAGATGCCTCCAGCTTCTTCAAACGGCGAGGAAAGAGGGCTGTGAAAACTCAAGATGAGATAAACGGTGAGGCTATAAATTGTGCTTGTGAAAACTCCTTATGTCAATTCAAGCAACCCCTTGAGCAACTGTCAACTACAATGGACAATCCAGAACGTTTGATTTAGAGAGACTGAGTACAAATGGGGTTTTTATATTATTAATAATACAAAATAAAAATGTATATATATAAACACTAGCATTCAAATGTCAGATTTGGAAAGAAATCACTTATTTTATTCAGCAAGGATGCATTCAACTGATCCAAAGTGACAGTAAATACATCTATAATGTTACCCAAAAAATAAATGCAGCTTTAGTGACCAAAAGAGAATTCATTCAAAAACATTACAAAAATCTTACTGACCAAAAAAAAAAAAAAAAAGTCACAATTTGAAGTCTTGCAAAGTAAATTGTCATCAATCACGTCACTTTTGTGGCTTCTAGGACTGTTTGGGTCAGGTTTGCTAGTGTAAAACAGCAAATAAAGAGCCCTTTTAGTCGTGGCTAGCACTGGCCACACAGGTGCTGCGTTTTGAGCCAGCTGAGGAATGTAAAGACGGCGAGCCGCAGCACATAGCAGGAACCACAGGGCAGGCTGGAGAAAACCAGCCTTCAGTCTTCAACTCCTGCCAGTGCCGGAGGAGGGGCTCTGCTGTTTTTTCAAGCCTTTCATTTGGCTTAGACCTGGTCTGAGATTGTTAGTTTATGGTTATGGGCTCACCAAAAATAATGTTTGACTCACCTGTGGGAATTCAAGACTGTGTAATCAAATGGTGAGGAGAGGATCTGGACAAGAGAATTTTCTTGAATCATAAATACCTTTTTTTGGACTTACAATAAATTAAAATTAATTAGTATGCAGCTTTGGGGTTTTATAATTCGCTGCTGCTGTCACACCAAATCAGGTGATCCTATTAGCCTATGTTATACAAACAGTGATGTAATCACAAACAGCCTTTCATTATGAATAGTGAAACTGAACTGTGTATTTTATATCATGAAGTGAGGATAAATCGTATTTAGTTAAAATATGGTATAATAAAAATATGATACAACAACAAAAAAACATGCTAAAAGCTCTTCTGAATCTTATCATTAGCATATTAGCATATTTCTCTTTTTATTTCTTTCTTTTTCTTCCTCTCACATTTTGTTGTCTTATTAGCTGAGCAGAGACAGAGGCTGGCCGCAGATGAGAGAAGGATGGAGTATCATGAGGAACAGAGTAATGAGTTTGAGAGTTACGCTGAAGAGGAGCACGACGGTGAGTCTACACAGCGAGCGAACTCAAACCACTCACCTGGCGGCCATATTGGATCAAGCAGCGTTAGTAGCGTTCTGAGATCATTCACCCAAGTAAACAGGATTACGCATGAACTTATCTGAACCTTGTAGGGTTTTACAAAACAGGTTTACAAAATCTAATTAAGGAAAAAAAAATGATTATATGACTTAATAAAACTTATTATAAATAAATATAATACATATTAAAAATAGAATGAATATTATATTTAATTTTAACTACATTTTAAATTAATTTTAAGGTTACTTTTCATGTTTCATGTCACGTAAATACATTTCACGCACAACTTATTTATTTGTACTGGCTTTTTTTAGGCATGATTACAACATTTCATTATGCATTCAGTTATTTTGTGATAGATTGATTTGTTTCATATTGTTTTATTTCAAGGTGCTTTTAATTTCGTATTTCAAGAGGTTTTTCATTTTAAGGCATATTTAATTTCAGGTGGTATTTCATGTCTTTAATAAATACATTTGTTTATTTACTTATGCTTTTATTTTAATCTTCATTTATTTATTGTAACATTCCATGCCGTATTTAATAATTTCAAAGTTTTACTATTTTTTTTAAAATAAAAATCATTTTTAGTTTAATTTAATACAATTCTGCCATTATTTAATCTAATATTGTTTTACCATCTTGCCTACACTTTTAAATATAATGGGAAAAAATAGACTGAAAAGGATTATCTATAAATAGTTTATATAATAGAATAGGCTATTTTCATATTCAGTTATCATATGTAACATAATACAACACTAACAGCATGTAATACACCTTTATTTAAATATGTCTGCCTTTAATGTTTATACAGTATACATGCTAATCACGTACATGGTCATGTTAGTGCAGTATAGCATCAAATATTTACACATATTATATCTGGTACTCTGTAGGCCCTCATTTCTCAAAATTCCTTCATTTTTACTCTCCTCCAGAGCAAGACGAGCACACCAGAGAGAACACAGAGCAGTGGAGAGAGTTTCACTACGACGGCCTTGACCCATCTTACGAGTACAACCGACACACGGTCTAAAACAGAGGATAACTACAGGAGAACGGGTAGAGAGCTTTACAGTACTTTACAGCATATTTCTGTAAAGGCGTTTTGGCACAATGTCTGCAGTAAACAAGCACACAATAGCGCAAAAGAACGTAGCCTTATATGTGTATTCATGCATGCAGAACGTATGTAATCCATGTATAATAGTTCTCTAAAAAGATGTACATTTATTCATAGGCTTTTATAACCCTTACTGTACTAATAACTCGCCAGTTGTTATTTTTATGGCTAATTTAAAATGTATTGTACATTTCGTCACACACTATAATGACAAAAGTCATTGCACAAGTTACAGAAAATCTGTAACAGTCTTTTAAATGAGTATTATAATGTAAAGTGCTACATTTAATACAAATAATATTTGCAGTCTAAGCAAACATGTAAATCTTCGTAACAGTTCTTTTAGTTTTGAATGAGTCTGGACAACAATAAAACTAGTGTTTGTTATCTTGGTCTTTAATGAAAATTCGAAACCATACACTCACCACAGAACAAATCTACTAAAGAGAAAACACTGCTTACATCATTTCTGCGACCTGAATGAAAGAACCAGCACTCAGCTGCTAAATTCAGAGGGCCGGTATGAAGACATGCAAGATTGAGAGCAGAAACTGTTTGAATCTCTCACGGTCGTATATCAGTGGACACAGCATATCAAAACGGCTTCAGCTAAACTGGAAAACTGCGATGTTTGCATTCGTACACTGGACAATGTGTGAAATTCTAGTCGTTTTTCGCTTCACTGAAACACAAAATCAGCAAATACAAATAACCGTCACTGAAGCTGGTACTTTTCCTATCGATCTGTGATAAAAACAAACACGTTATTGGTCAAGCGTTCATCAATCTTCTCATTAAACACAATTAAAAGAACAAAATCATAACAGTTTACATTACAGTGTCTTTATTACATATAGGCTATTTAATAATAATATACTATTAATAGTAATTTGAGTGGCAACAGCAATAAATACTTGAATTTACACAGCGCAACATAATCACTGCAATGTAAAGTGCGTGACCAACAGTCGTTTTAAAAAAGCAAAGCTTACAAAATAAATCCAAAACATACACAAAACACTTTTAAAAAGTGCTTTTCGCCACCATTTCATACCTCCAAAAACATTTGACACACAAATCACTCCAGATTCTTTCACTGATATTAACAAATTGCTGATAAAACCATTAAACTGCACATTTCCGTTTGTTTATGCAATATTCACATCCTTCATTCTCTCATTAATAAATGCCAGACGCATCCAGGACCGAATTTCAAGTTCATACGTATTGGATGACAGTAAACCTATTGGTTTAAAGGTGACATATCATGAAAATCTGACTTTTCCAGGTTTTAAGTGCTATAATCAGGTCCCCGGTGCGTCTACCAAACAAGGAAACGTGAAAAAGATTAACCCAGTAACTTTGTTTTGGGACGCCTTTTTCTGCAAGAGTCTGAGTCTGATTTTGCTCCTTTGGTGACGTGGCAAAGGGATCTCATTATAATATTACCGCCCCTTAATCTGTAAATTTCCACCCACGGCGCCGTTATTGTGTTTTCGCAAGCGACAACGGTGTACTAGTTCTAATGCCATGGCGAAAGTTTGAGCAAAACATGCTAACTGTTCTGTCTTTGGCTGCACAGACGAGCACAGAACACTATTTAGAGTCCCAGCCTCAGAGGAGACAAGACAGCAGTGGATTTATTGATTTATTTAATGTATATTGCTGCTGCCACATAGATCTAAAATAAACATGTGATTTATTTCCCAGCTGTTTACCTTCACAGACATAACCGACTGTTACATGTGAGTTTTTAACGTAAACCTGTGTGTGAATGAGAACTTAGTTTAGTTATGAAACACACCTAGGCCTATATCTCGTAATAATTACAGTTTAATTTACATTAAATACCAGCTTCAATGACAGCCCCACTTTGCGCATGCGCATTAAAATCCAATACTGCGCATGCTCGTCAAATCCAATACGTATTGGATCTGATCCAGCTACGTCATCGTGCTACAGGCTGCAGCGAGGACCTCTTGCTTGTTTCTGCTTCCACTCAAAATAGGCATTTTCAAAATGATATAATAAATGATCTGTGGAGTATTTTGAGCTGAAACTTCACAGACACATTCTGGGGACACCAGAGACTTTGTAAAAAGGGGCATAATATGTCTCCTTTAAAGCCTGATCAGCTTCTGTAAATCACATCCTTTATCATTTGGTTGTTCGAAACAGCAGCAGGTTGAAATAAAGCAGCGAAAAGTTACAACAACGTTTTAATGAATGAGACTTGTTTTATCTACACCTTCTAAGACTCAAAGTAGATGTTCTTCAACTCAGGGTTTGTAATCTCCACTCAACAGCCACATGAGCGTCCAAATCATGAGCTTTACTCATTAAAACAGTCCTTGAAATTCACACAGGCCGCTATTTTTGGAATCGGTCTTGCTTTATAGCACGCCATTGGCTTTCCAGAAAGGAAAACTGGTTCGACTGTGGACAATGGAAGTTATCGTTAAATAGAAGAAAACACGTCTTTCCACTAAGTGCAACAGTCAAGTGAGCAGTCTGACAGGAAGTGATGTCATTTGGAGCCAGTGATGATGGTAGTGACCGTGGATGGCCGTGTGTGCCGCTCGGGCGTCCCCGAGGAAGAGTTTGCCGCTTGCATGGAAGAACCTAGACAAAGATAACACCCTCTTCAAGGGCTGTTGGACAATACGACATAATACAACAAACAGCACATCACTGGTGATGAGTCAATCAAGTTCGTCAGCAAAAGTCTTGTGAGTTGTCAGTTTCATGAAATATAAAGTATTAAAGCATAAACTTACAGTCGTTGCGGTGGACTGAGGAAACATCGACCGACTGACTCTTCCCTGGCATGGATGTTGGATTCTGCTTCCTGTGTTGAGAGGAATCCATACTGCTGCTGAGCTGAAGACGCCTCATATGTCTGATCACTGCGGTAGCGTTGAACGCTTGCTGTGAGGAGAGAAGAATATAGAGAATAGTACAGAATTTCAGATCATCTTACATGTTGTTCAAAGTAAAGTTTCTCTGGAGGCGGAAAGGAAGTGGTCACTTACTCGCCATTTAGCTTTGGCAAAGTTCTTCTTCATCTGTCGGCTGACTGATTCGTGGATGTTCTTACAGAGCGCAGTATCACCAGCTATCCTGCAATCAGAAGAAAGTCAGCGGTTGGACTTCCTGCAGTATCATCCAGCATCCATGAGGAGGCAGAGCCTTATGATATGTGACCATATATGAGTATACATTGCATCACTGAGATGCTATTGTTTCATTAATATTTTGAACACTCTAAAAAATGCTGGGTTAAATATAACCCAGCGCTGGGTTAAAAAGGGACAAACCCAGCTATTGGGCTACCCAACTTTTTATGGTTTTAGTTTAGTTTTAGTTCACTATAATAATGCTGTTGTGCTCAATTACATCAGGTGAGTGTAATTATGGTTATTGCAATATTATTATATAATATTGCAATATAATAACTAATATTATATAAAATATGTAATTATATATATATATGATATACAGTAAGATTGATATATAATTATCTTTTATGCTCACCATGACTGCATTTATTTTATCTAAAACCTAATAACCTTTTTATTTGAATATATTTTAAAATGTAATTTATTCCTGTGATGCAAAGCTAAATTTTTTGCAGCATTACTTCAGTCTTCAGTGTCACATGATCCTCCAGAAATCATTCTAATATGCTAAATTTGTGCCATTTCAGGATTCTTTGATAAATTGGAAGTTCAAATGAACAGTATTTATTTGAAATATAAATATTTTGTAAAATTATAAAAGCC